ATCGTGTTCAAGAAAATCACTATTATGTCATCTATAGGGAATCGTAGTATGGGTAAACTGCTCATTAGCGGTGAGTTTGGCTCATTTGCCTGCGTATAATTAATATTAGTGACATGCATGCATGGGGTAAAGTTTAAGTTGCGGAACCAGAGTACATGCATACACAAATGCGGGGCAGTCAGAACGTTTTCTAAAATGTTGCTAAATTTATATAAATTATATAATTTTTTCGCGCAGTCATAAAATATTTTTACAATAATCCCTGGTTTTATGGGAGCGAAGTAAAATAGGCTCTGTTGATTGGGGTAGTTAGGACAAAGTTTCACATTTGAAAGTAAATCCTATAAATTCAATAACGCGCATTTGACCATTATTTTTTGCTCTTATTCGTATGACATTATCCAGACATACTGGAATATTTTTACTACTTTACATAATTTGGACAAGTCAAAATATTTCATTTCGCCACCTTAAGGTGGCTCGATATAGTTATCACGAAAACCCTGCTCAAGAATCGCGAACTCAAAACCGGGTGACCATTTTTGCGCGCAGGTCGCGGAAACTGATTAACAAAATGACAGAACTTCCAAAATGACCTGACGTAAGCAGCTGCTCGCGCCATCTCACGTCATTTCGCGTGTTCTATATAGCGTTTTATGTCAATTGCTGACGGCATTAGAATTTTCCATTTTAGAAAAACAATGCGCTATATCTCTTTATTTTGTCTGGTGACCTATGTTCAAATTTTGCATGCTGTATTGCACCGCTAAAAACTTTCATTACACAAAAAATAAAAAAATTCTGTAATGCCAAAAAAATTTTACCGAAGAATATGACATTTTCGCATTTTCCAAAAAAATGGCATTACAGAATTTTTTTATATTTTGCTAATTGTTAGCTTTTCGTCCAAGTACAATAATGCAAGAAAAAAATTGGGGGTCACCATGCTTCTTTTCCAACTATACGAGACGAAAGGCCATTTTGGAGTGTATTTTGTACACGTATGTCGTCATAGCAACGAACTATCTGTTACTAAAACTAATATAATTTGAAAGTAGAGATATCGAAATATATAAAAAACCCAATATCTGCTGAATATATTCTAAAAATGCATAGTTTGAACATTTCAAAGTGTTGAACACCTGAATTTTTGAAAACTGTATCGAGCCACCTTAAAGGGACGACAAAAACCTGTGGCAGGGATCTATCAACTACAGTAGGTTTCACCGATATTGTTCATGGCTGCCTTTGTAAATTTATCTGTCTCTACCTGACACAAGTACTGTAAACATCGAAAATGGTTTTAATTTTCACTTAAATTTCATACTTGTTTTCATAAATTTGTTGTCAATATATTCTGCAGTGCTCTACTGTCCATTAGTTGTTTATATTCTTGAGCGCAAACGTAAAAGTTTAAATTGTTTACTGTACACCTTATAATAAGAGTACTCTGAAATGCATCTGATTGGCTAATACATATGGGAATCCAGTAAGTGCAGTCACAGACTCACAGCTAGAGAAGTAACAAATTCAAATTGTGGATTGACGATAGATTCTCACGCAAAAATAACTGTTTGTCACTTTGTCGGGTTTAGCCTTGGCGCCTATAAAGTTTCCAAAACTTAGTCTTATTGTTATCATTAACAGAAGCTCGAAAATAGTTGTAAACAATTTAATTAAACAAACACACTAAGACGTTTAATATGAGACTTTGAGACACATGTATTAACATTTGCATCTAATTATCAAAACATGTTCGAGTCACGCTGCTTTCCGACGAAAGCGGTCGCCCACTTCGTCTATTTGCTTATTTATGAGGAAGTTGCATTTCTCATAGAAATACATGCATACAGCATCCCATATCAATATTCATATATCTACACTGGCACGCGAACGAGCAAATGAAAGTTTATATTTCTTACCTCAGGTCCCTCAGTCCTCGATCATATATCATCGTGAAATTATATAGTCAGAAGTATGTTTAGTTCCACTTACAATACAGGAGCTGGACTATATGTTACTCCATCAATACAAGCATCCATAATCCATATACAATATCCATGTATAAATATATTTATATTAAAATTGCTAAGCAGTTAATAATAATAGCACATGTTAATAGCATGGGCATTGCGAAGTAACACGCATTGCGAGATAACACGCGGTGTACCAGTTTTGTCGTGCATCGTGGGTAAAAAATCGTGCCTCGTGGATAAAAGCCGTTGGTCGAAAAATGCCTAAATTAGCGGGGGGTTTCTTTTTTACCAAAAAATAGCTTTCATTTAATAATTTCTGTTTTAGTAAAATGCGTTTAAGCGACAACCAATTGGCAATGCTGAACTGAAACATTTAACCGAAATTAATTATGTTAGGATTGACATTGCATTTTCCCGCGTAAATGCGGTATAGCATTACTATTGAACCGGTAGCCATAGCTAGGGTCCATGTAATATAAATCTTATATCTGACAAAAAACCATTGCGTCCAGGTGATCCTCTGTCTGTGTGATTGGTTAAAAGGCCCTAGCTCGAATTAGAGTTCATATAATCTGTTCAATAAGGGTTGCATGTGCCCTACGCGAAAATGGTATTATTAGCCGATTTGAATTGATTTCTGCTCTATATACGTGATGAAGTTAAAAATTAACATGATGGATTTTATGCGCGTATACAGTGGCGTATCCAGCTGCCAGCCCGACAATGCTCGACAATGCAAATATGCAATACAATCAGGCAGGTCCGATAGAGTTCGCCTATTATCACCGAATCTGTTCCACACACGGCATTTTATCGCTCATCAGAGCCGCCGAGGGGGGGGGGGTGCTGGGGGCCCCGAGGTGCTGGGGGCCCCTGAAAAATTTTTGTTGGGCCCCAGTCTTTTTTTGTATGTTAAATATTTCCGCGCAAAAGACAAAATATCTGTTTTCTGAGATAAATACCGACATTTGGCATAAAAAATGAGATAAAGTCTCTGTAAAGCAATAGCAACGTAATGGTTCTGAAAATTTTTTTACCCCTAAAATGGTACACTGGTCAAAACATTTTTGGGACGGGGGGGGAGGTTGTCCGGAAAATTTTTTTTCTGGAAATTTTTTTTTGGTTGGGGGGCCCCCCAAAAAATATTTGCCCCGGGCCCCCGCCAACCTCTCTGTGGCACTGTCGTTCATGCCCATGGTCCATCCGTGTCACTCGATCGAGTGTAGTTTTAGTCAAGATATCAGTCAACACTCGAAATAAATCTGGTATTTCCATGCACCATGTATTATTCTCTATATAATTAAAGTGTTATACCTATACCAAATGTTCTTGGCTATTAATTGTAGATAACTGTGCTAAAATTTAATAAACACTTCATTACCAGAAATATGGGACATTTTGCTCCTGCTTTTGTAGTCAGTGGCTAAGTCCGTTTTATATGCCCAACATTGCCTAATATAAGTAATTCTACTTCGCATTTTACTTTGAATCTCCAGTTCAAGTATTATTCAACCAAAAACTGTGATTTTAAACCATATTTTGCAGTTTTTGCTGATCACTTCCGGTATTTTGACCTTTAAAAAATAATTTTTATCAAGACTAAATATATTGCAAATATCCTAAAAA